CATTTTTGTATTTTTAGTAGAGACAGGGTTTCACCATGTTGGCCAGGCTGGTCTTGAACTCCTGACCTCAGGTGATCCACCTGCCTTGGCCTCCCAAAGTGCTGGGATTACAGGTATGAGTCACCGCGCCCAGCAGGATTCACTTATAAAGCTGCTTCTCTATGACTGGCTGTGGCCACAAGGCCTCCTGAACCATTTGATTCAGACCTATTCTATATTAGTTATTAACTTTTTTTGGTGGGTGGTGGGGAGGAAGCTTGCTCTGTTGCCAGGCTGGAGTGCAGTGGCACGATCTCGGCTCACTGCAACCTCCGCCTCCCCAGTTCAAGTGATTCGGCTGCCTCAGCCTCCCGAGTAGCTGGGATTACAGATGCTTGACATCATGCCTGGCTAATTTTTGTATTTTTAGTAGAGATGGGGTTTCACCATGTTGACCCGGATAGTCTTGATCTCTTGACCTCGTGATCCCCCTGCCTCAGCCTCCCAAAGTGCTGGGATTACAGGCATGAGCCACGGTGCCCAGCTGGTTATTAACTATTTTGAATGACTTCCCGCAGAGAAAGGGAAGAAATAAAGATCAGAGTAGGAAGAAAATATTTTCATGGCCATTCAATTAAAGAAAAAGAGATCTTTTCAGAAAAGACTGGAGCTGTTAAAGTATGGTTTGCAGTAAGTTGCAGAAACATACTTAGAGCCTAGACGAGACCATGGGATTTGTCTACAAAAGAAATTTAGTGGCCAGGGGCAGTGGCTGTAATTCCAGCACTTTGGGAGGCCAAGGCTGATCATGTGGTCAGGAGATCGAGAGCATCTTGGCTAATGCGGTGAAACCCCATCTCTAGTAAAAACACAAAAAATTAGCTGGGTGTGGTGGTGCGTACATGTAATCCCAGCTACTCAGAAGGCTGAGGCAGGAGAATCGCTTGAACCCGGGAGGTGGAGGTTTCAGTGAGCTGAGATCGCGCCACTGCACTCCAGCCTGGGCGACAGAGCCCGACTCCGTCTCGGGAAAGAAATAATGAAGCAATTTAGCTTGTTTCTCCCACCTCCTGTGTCATCTGGGATGCTCTGACAAATGGAATGGCGTTGTCCCTTGTTCCCTGCAGTGACTCTGTCCTCTGTGGGTTCAGCACAGGCTCAACACCAGCTTTCAGTTCCACCCGCAGCTGCTGCACCTCTTGGTTGCTCTTCAGAGAGTCTTGGTGTTCAAGCTTCTCCTGCAATGCCCGGTGGAAGCTCTGCTGGCTGGCTCTCTGGTCCTCTTCCTGCTGAGCCAGTCTTCAACCAGAAGCCACACCACAGCCACCAGGACCAGGAAGGCCAGGCCCGCCCGAAGGAGATTCTGGGCAGTGTGGTCCCAGAGGGCAAGCTCTGTGGGCAGGAGAACAGGGTGATTGCTGACAGGGACGTAAGGACACCCTCTGTTTTTTTTTTCTTTTTTGAGACAGAGCCTTGATCTTGTTGCCCAGGCTGGGGTGCAACACTGTGATCTTCGGCTCACTGCAAACTCCGCCTCCCGCTTCAGGCTCCCAAGGAGCTGGGCCTTCAGTTGAGCACCACTACGCCTGGTTAATTTTTGTTTTTTTTGAGACGGAGCCTCGCTCTGTTGCCCAGGCTAGAGTGCAGTGGCTTGATCTCAGCTCACTGCAACCTCCGCCTCCTCGGTTCAAGCGATTCTTCTGCCTCAGCCTCCCAAGTAGCTGGAACTACAGGCACGTGCCGCCATACCCATCTAAATTTTTTATTTTTAGTAGAAACAGGGTTTCACTATGTTGGCCAGGACGGTCTCAATCTCTTGACCTCGTGATGCGCCCGACTTAGCCTCCCAAAGTGCTGGGATTACAGGCTTCAACCACTGTGCCCAGCCAATTTTTGTATTTTTACTAGAGACAGAGTTTTCCCATGTTGGCCAGGCTGGTCTCAAACTCCTGACCTCAGATGATCTGCCTGCTTTGGCCTCCCAGTGTGCTGGGATTACAGGTGTGGGCTACCACACCTGGCCAAGGACACCCTCTTGTTCCACTGATCACCATCTCCTTCCCAGCTCATGACTCTACGCCCAGCTCCTTCCTTTACAGCCTTTGGCCCCAGGTGTCTGCTTACCTTTCTGGAGTTCCATCTCTGTGGTTAAAAGGTAGGTGTCCCCAGAGTCTGCGATTAATAAGGGAAGTAAAGAAAAGGGGGTGATGTTGGCCTCCTCCACCCCAGCGCTCCTTCCCTTGGGTATACCCAATGACGTTCTGCAAGGTCCCACCCCGCCCTGCAGGTCCCAGAGCTTCATCCAGCAGATAAAGTGGAAGGGTCTGCAGATGGACAAGCCTGAGGAGGAATTCCATTCTAGCACTCATGAGCGTGTGTCTTTGCAACAGTCACGTCTTCTACGTTTCTGTTTTTTTTTTTTTTGAGACACAGTTTCGCTCTTGTCGCCCAGGCTGGCATGCAGTGGCATAATCTCAGCTCACTGCAATCTCTGCCTCCCGAGTTCAAGTGATCCTCCTGCTTCACCCCCGAGTAGCTGTCATTACAGGCGTGTACCACCATGCCCAGCTAATTTTTGTATTTTTAGTAGAGACAGGGGTTTCCCTGTGTTGGTCAGGCTGGTCTCGAACTCCTGACCTCAAGTGATGTGCCCGCCTCTACCTTCCAAGGTGCTGGGATTACAGGTGTGAGCCACCATGCCCAGCCCATGCCTTCTACTTAAGCCTCATTTTCCTCATTAAGTGGTCATCACTCCTTTCTCCTCACACTTAGTCAAATTCAAAGTCTCACTATTTTTTTCAGCGTCCTAACCACGCAGCCCCAGCCCCATCCCATCCCCCCTGTCATCTTCCAGGCGTCATTTCCAACCCTCCAGGACTCACAGCTGTCCTTTTGTCACCCTGGTCATCTTCCTGCCTCAGGGCAGAGGCCGAGGCCATTTCCTCTCTCCGACCCTCCTTTCTCCTGAGAGCCACAGGATAAACTCAAGTCTGAGGGCGTTTGCTCAGATGTCTCCTCTGTGAGGCCAATCTGGACAACCCATTTAATAGTGCTACCTGCCCTCCCAAACATTGTAAGTCTGTTCCTCTTTGTCTTTCTCCTTCCATAGCCTCATTTCCTCCTGTGTGCTGTCCTGACGTCGACCCATGGTCTGTCTCCTGCTAGAATCTAAATGCCATGAAGCCAAGATATTTGCCTGGCTGACTGTTACAGTGTAGTTCACTGTGTGTACCGTGCACTTGATAAATATATATATATGTATACACACACACACACATACACACACACACATATAGTGATGGAGTCTTGCTCTGTCACCTAGGCTGGAGTGAGGTAGTATGATTTTGGCTCCTGCAACCTCTGCCTCCCTGGTTTAAGCAATTCTCCTGCCTCAGCCTCCAGAGTAGCTGGGATTACAGGTGCCCTTACCACACCTGGCTAATTTTTGTATTTTTAGTAGAGACAGGGTTTCACCGTGTTGGCCAGGCTGGTCTCCAACTCCTAACCTCAAGTGATCCACCCATCTCGGCCTCCCACCATGCTGGGATTACAGGTGTGAGCCATCGTGCTCGGCCTTGATTAATATTTTGAATGAATGCCCCATTTTTAGTGTCATGGGGAGGCTCTGATCCCTCCTCTGAGCTTAGAAGGACCAGTTACTCACCAGGAGAGGTGGGATCTGTAGGTGCAAGGCTGGTGTTCTCAGTGTCACCTGGAAAAGGAGATAAAGAACATAAGTAAGGCTTTGGGTTTCCCCTGGTCTTACCATTTCTTTCTCTGCACCCTCTTCCTTCCTGTTTCTGGTGATCTTCCTCACACCACCAACTGGGCCCCCAGGAAGCCAATGTCCCTTTGATACCCTCCCCATCACGATCTGGAGATCCCTTAGGGCTCCAGGTAGGACATGGCAGCGGGAGGTGTGGGAATCGGGGCTCTCCTCACCTGTGATCAGGAGCTTCACTGGCTCACTGGGGAAAGACCATGCATGGTTGTTATAGGAGCCAAAACACCGGTAGGTCCCTCTGTGGGATGTGGTCACAGAGCCCATGGGGAATTCTGCCTGGACCTTCCCGTATCCGCGCCGTACGCTGGATCTTCCCTCCTTGAGCAGAAAGAAGGTGCTTGTTGCAGTCCCCAGACGGCAATAGAAGGTCACCTTCTCTCCCAAGATCACTTCCGGTCCGGGATGAACCGAGAGGGTGGGTGTGTCATACATTCCTACGAGAGAAGGTGGGGCCCCCGCACCAGAAACTCAGTGATGAGCAGCCAGCTATTTTAGAAAAATTATTATTATTTTGGTCAATTACACACAGCAGAAGATTTACCATCTAAGCCATTTTTAAATTTATTTATCTGTTTGAGAGATGGAGTCTCACTCTGTCGCTCGGGCTGGAGTGCCGTGGCGTGATCTCAGCTCAATGCAACCTCTGCCTCCCAGGTTCAAGTGTTTCTCCTGCCTCAGCCTCCCCAGTGGGTGGGACTACAGGTGCCTGCCACCACGCCTAACTAAATTTTGTATTTTTAGTATAGACCATCTTGAGCAGGCTGGTCTTGATCTCTTGAGGTCATGATCTGCCCGACTTGGCCTCCCAAAGTGTTGGGATTACAGGTGTGAGCCACCACACCCAGCCTAAACCATTTTTTAAAAATGATGCAGGGTTTATACCTAATACTGTGTCACTTGATATAAAAACAAAAAAAGAAAAATGAAAAAAATGATGCAGGGTCTTGCTCTGTTGCTCAGGCTGGAGCGCCATGGCACCATCTCGGTTCCCTGAAGCCTTGACATCCTGGGTCAGGACAAGGTGAAATCCCATCTCTACTAAAAATGCAAAAATTAGTCAGGCATGGTGGCAGGTGCCTGTAGTCCCAACTACTTGGGAGACCAAGGCAGGATAATTGCTTGAATCCAGGAGGTAGAGGTTGCAGTGAGCTGAGATTGCACCACTGCACTCCAGCCTGGGGAACAGAGCAAGACTGTTTGAAAAAATACAAAAAAAACCTAAAATATTTTTTTAAAAACTCATCACTTGTGATGGGTGAGGAAAGCAAAGTGTAAGCCACTGCCCCTGGCCCACAGGTGATGTTGTTGAGGACATCTGTCAGTCATACTCCTGCACGCAAATATCTATCTTAGAATCTGTTTCTTGGAGAACTTGACCGAGGACACATCTGCTCCTAGGACATAGAGACGCTGTCTGCAGACAAGCCCTTGTAGGCAGGGATGTGATGAGTACACCCGTCCACCCAACCTCCTTCCGAGAGAAGCAGCATCTGAGTGGGGGTTGGAAGAGTTAATAGATGAGGCCCCATCCCCGCTGTAGACTGAACTGACTCTCCATTTAGGGAGGGGGACACTTACCTGTTACCACCAGATCCAGTGAGTCGCTGGGTTCTGACCAGAGCTCCCCAACCCGATAGAAGCAGCTGTATCGCCCTGCCGTGCGGGATGTCATGGCCGGGATGTGAAACTTGACTTTGTTAATGTGCTCAGGAGGTTTTGGTCTCTCCATGGCAGAAAGGCGTCCTTCAAAATGCAGCTGGTATTCAACAGCCCCATAATTTCCCTGGCAACAGATGGTCGCCGGCTTTTCCTTTGGAACCATGAAACTGGGCTTGGCCCAGATGGAGGGTTTCGGGAGAGTCTCTGGAAGGGAATCAGACGCTGGAGTCCCAGCTGAGCCCACCTCCCCACCCTAGGCTCCACCCAGCTGCTGGCCCTAAGCACTCCTGGGAAGCCCGCACCCTGCCCCCTCTCCTCAGCTGTGTTTGGGTGGAGGGTGCTTGGTCTGAACCCGTCAGAGCGACCCCGAGCTTTGAAGGAAGGACTCACGCTGCTGGGTGCTGATCCTCTGGCTCAGACACAGCCCTGCAAGATGGGAATAATGAGACCCGTTGCTTCCCAGGCACACCCTCATTCCATTCCCCATCCAGGCAAGAACTCACCGAGGCAGAGCAGGGCAGGGAGTGCGGAAGGCATCGCTCTGATTCTGCTGGCAGTGGGTGGTGACTGAGCCCAGCGTGCCAGGGAGATGCAGAGGAAGTGGTGGATGAGGCCAACCCTCATCACCACGTGGCTTTCACGTTGACTTTTTTCATAAGAATGTTCACAATTCCCCTCCACCTCTGACCGTGAGCCTATGGCAAAGCCATGGTCTCTATGACACAGCTGTGGTCTAGCCAGCTTCTCTGAAAACTTTCTGCTCAGCCCGAAATGCATTTCTGGGTCAACTTCTCTCTCTCTCTCTTTTTTTTTTTTTTTAATTTCTCTGCCCCGCCCCCTTTTTCTTTTCTTTTCTTCTTCTTCTTTTTTTCCTTTTTAGAGATGGGGTTTCGCCATGTTGGACAGGCTGGTTTCGAACTCCTGACCTCAAGTGATCCACCCGCCTTGGCCTCCCAAAGTGCTGAGATTACAGGCGTGAGCCACTGAGCCCAGCCTCTTTTCTCTTTTTTTTTTTTCCCCTGGGTTAACTTCTCAATTCTGCGATGTGGAAGTTATGCCCAGGGCTGATGCCCTAACCTCGAATCACTTCAAGTTGTAGTTCTAAATCCAAGGACATTTTGTTATGTTATTGATGTTCAAAGTCAAGAAATATCATTGATAGGACACTATTGTCTAAGCTATCGACTTTATTCAAATTTTACCACTTGTTTTAGCAGTGACATGTATTTGGTTTAGGATTTAATCCAAGGTTGTGCAATTTATTTAATTGTCATGTCTCTTAAAAAAAAATAAAACTCTAAGGCCGGGCGCAGAGGCTCACACCTGTAATCCCAGTGATTTGGGAGGCCAAGGTGGGTAGATCACCTGAGGTTGGGATTTCAAGACCAGCCCAAGCAACATGGAGAAATCCTGTCTCTACTAAAAGGTACAAAAATTAGCCAGGCATGGCGGCATATGCCTGTAATCCCAGCTACTCAGGAGGCTGAGGCAGGAGAATCACTTAAATCCAGGAGGCGAAGGTTGCAGTGAGATGAGACTGTGCCATTGCACTCCAGCCTGGGCAACAGAGTGAGAATCTGTCTCAAAAAAAAAAGAAAATATAAGTATGCATGCTAATTTGTACACACACATCTGTATCTACCAATTATCTTCATCTGTCTATCTATCTGTCTTCTACCTATCACCTATCTGCATCACACACACACAGCCATGGGTTCATGCTGATGTCTCTTACTTCAACCCAACACTATAAAATTCATTCTAACATTCTCTCTCTTTTTTTAATTTTTGGAAATGAAAGGGATAAAGGGGAATCTTATAGATTAAAGGAGACATAAAAGATACATTGTTAAAAATAGGAAAATCTACATTATAATGTCTAGGGATGGACTCTTGAGGGATAGTCTTGAAATATCCAAGGAAGTAATTATGGAAAGTGTCAGGATATGTTTAGAATGAGGCTGGACTGTGATTGGAATGAGAGACACAAAAGCGCTTCTGGCTTCAGGAAAAGTTCTATTTCTAGACTAGAATGATGATAGCCAGATAATTTACCTTAAGACATTTTAAGTTATCTGTTTTTTTTTTTTTTTTGTACTGTGGTTTTCTGTATTTTGTTTTATTCTAATCTGTAAATTAAAAAAAAGAGTAGAATGAGAAACACTGAAACACAAAAAGAGTAGAATGAGGAACACGTAACAATCCCTGCTCATCCAAATAATGAAACCAAGCTGGGTACATATCACCAGGCTCCTAACTCTGCAGGGAGAGAGGGGCTCTGATTAGGGCCTGGTTTCTCCCTTTGGGATTGGCTTCCCATGTCATTGCTCTCAACTGTCTTTGGTTCTGCTGTTAAGACTCTCAGATGTAACTCATGAGAAATCTTTCCTTTTCTGTGAGAGATGACCCATATTGACTAATAAGTGTATGTCTCAGCCTGATTCCTGTCTTTTCAAAGCTGAGGACTTAGGAGTGCAAAAGGCTTATTGGAAAGGAAAGAAAAAGAAAAGAAAAGAAAGCTGGGGAAATAAAAAAGACTTTTGCAACGTACGTGTCTTTAGATCCATTTACCCCAACATAGTGGCCATTTTGCCTATATGACTACTCCCTTAAAACTTTGTGGGTTTCCTGTGTATCAGATTGTTCTCTATTGGAAAAAAATATACCCCCAATTCTTTGCAAGACAGGACTGTGCACCTTTTGGGCATTTAAGACTGCTGTGGGACTGTGACCATATGATTTTTATATGACCTTAAGTCTAGCTGAGAGGGTTTACTTGACACCATCTTGAATCTTTCCAATGGCTTAATAAAGAGTCACAGTGACTTCAGACCTTCTCTTCTGGGGCACTATCAACATTTGGGCTAGATAATTCTTTGCTGTGGAAAGCTGTCTTGTGCATTGCAGAATGTTTAACAGCACCCCTGGCCTCTACCCACTAGATGCCAGAAGCATCCCTTCCCAGTTATGACAACAGAAAACATCTCCAGACGTCTCCAAATGTCTTCTGAAAAGTAAAATTGGCCAGCAGAGAAACACTGAGTTACACCATTGATTTTTCTCCTCTTCAGTTTAGGTTTCATTTCACTCTGAGAACATTCTAGTAGCTATAAATATTGGGAAGGAGGAACAATTTTATTTTTCTAACCAGAAAACCTTCACTGACCATCCCCTTTATAGTCTCTGAAAATTATGTTTGCTAACATAATTTTTTTTCCCGTTTAGCTTATTTTTTTTTTTTTTGAGATAGAGTTTCGCTCTTGTCACCCAGGCTGGAGTGCAATGGCCCTATCTTGGCTCATTGTAACCTCTGCTTACCAAATTCAAGTAATTCTCCTGCCTTAGCCTCCCAAGTGGCTGGGATTACAGGCACCGACCACCATACCCAGCTAATTTTTTGTATTTTGTATTTTTGTAGAGACAGGGTTTGACCATGTTGGGCAGGCTGTTCTTGAACCCCTGACCTTGTTATTCGCCCGCCTCAGCCTCCCAAAGTGGTGGCATTAAAGTCATGAGCCACTGCACCTGACCATCTTTCTCTATTATAGGCAGCTTAGAAAAGTCATTTGACCCCTTCAACAATCTGTTTAGAAATCATATTACCAGATAACAAGTTCATTAGATACGTTTTCTGTCTTCTAAGTTATTGTAGGTAGGAGTGTAAGCCACAAAGTGAGATTCCTTCTTCTCTACAAAACTAATAATAATAATAAAAAAATAGCCAGACATGGTGGCATGTGCCTATGTTTACAGCTACTTGAGAGGCTGAGGTGGGAAGTTCACTTGCTCCCAAGAGATCAAGGCTGCAGTGAGCTATGATTATACCACTGCACTCCAACCTGGGTAACTGAGTGAGGCCCCCATTTCAAAATGGAAAAAAACAGTCCTGCCGTTAGAGAAGTCCTGTTAACATACCTCCAGGTCTGTGAAAAAAGGAGGCACTCTACTTTCCCAATAAAACACTCTGACTGGGAGCCTGGGTGTGGTGGCTCAAGCCCGTATTCCCAACACTTTGGAAGGCCCAGGCAGGCAGATCACCAGAGGCCAGGAATTTGAGACCAGCCTGACCAACATGGTGAAACCCCGTCTTTACTAAAAATACAAAAAATTAGCTGGGCGTGGTGGCAGGCACCTGTAATCCCAGCTATTCGGGAGGCTGAGGAGGAGAATTACTTGCCTATAATGGGACCCTACCAGTGGGAGTGATGACAGTGAAAGGGAGACACATGGACGGTGAGATAAGAGGGCAGAACTCAGTCCCGGAACTTCTTAGTCTTCATTTGAAGCCAAAGCTATTTGAAGCTTATTTATTTATTTTTATAACAGCCAGCATCACACTATATAACACAAAAATGACTTCTGAGTTGGAGATGGATGATTTATTGTTTTTAAGTTGCTAATATAATTCGCTGTTTATGTTGATGACCCAGCTTCATGACATTAGAATTCCAATGGATGACGAACTCCAGTCTGAAGATAAGATGAGTTATCCACGTTTTCAGATTCATTTCAGAGCTCGCCTACCCTTGGGGACACGGCGGAAAACCTTAAACCCTATAACGATTAAATAATATAGACCTCCAATTTTTAAGAAAACTAAGTGAAAAAATAAATTAGTGGGTTGACGTGAAACACATGCCTCTGTTCCTTGTATGAAAATCCCTTAGAAACAGGGTTTGTGGGCCAGGCGCAGTGGCTTACGCCTGTAATCCCAGCACTTTGTGAGGCCGAGGCGGGCAGATCCTGAGGTCGGGACCAGCCTGACCAACATGGGGAAACCCTGTCTCCACTAAAAATACAAAATTAGCTGGGCATGGTGGGTCTCATGCCTGTAATCCCAGCTACTCGGGAGGCTGAGGCAGAATTGCTGGAACCTGGGAGGTGGAGGTTGCGGTGAGTCAAGATCACGCCATTGCATTCCAGCCTGGGCAACAAGAGTGAAACTCCATCAACAACAACAACAAAAAAAAAGAAAGAAAGAAAGAAAGAAAGAAATAGGGTTTGTGAAATAAATAGGATAATCCCCCCTGTAGGATTATGACTTTCACCCTCACCAATCTGTAGATAAACACAACAGAAGGCTGAGGTAGGAGGATTGCTTGAGACCAGGAGTTCAAGACCAGCTTGGGCAACATAGGGAGCTCCTCATCTGGATAACAAAAAATCAAGAAGGGGGGTTAGTGAATATGTTTGGCATGGTCACCAACTATTTATATTTAGGGAAAACACATTTAAACAATATAAAAAGAAGGGCAATATATATTAAACAGGATATAAAAAATCAGAAGACAGATAAAGATGGAAAACCATAACGGATGTTCAGAAGGGTAGGGTGCAAATAGTGTCAGGTCTGCACAAGAAAATACCATTTGATTGGTTTGAAAATGAATCTGACAGGACACGGTGGCTCACGCCTGTCATCTCAGCACTTGAAGGCCAAAGTGGGTGGATCACTTGAGGTCAGGAGTTTGAGACCAGCTGGCCAACATGGCGAAACCCCATCTGTACTAAAAATACAAAAATTAGCCAGGTGTGGTGGTGTGTGCCTGAAGGTCCAGCTACTTGGGAGGTGGAGGCACAAGAATCGCCTGTATCTGGGAGGTGGAGGTTGCAGTGAGCTGAAATTGCTCCACTGCCCTCCAGCCTGGGCGACAGAGTGAGACTCCCTCTGAAAAAAGGAAAAGAAAAATAAAATGGATTCAAGCAGGCCAGGCGCGGTGGCTCACGCCTGTAATCCAAGCAGTTTGGGAGGCCGAGGCGGGTGGATCGCGAGGTCAAGAGATCGAGACCATCTGGTCAACATGGTGAAACCCCATCTGTACTAAAAATACAAAAAATTAGGTGGGCATGGTGGCACGTGCCTGTAGTCCCAGCTACTCAGGAGGCTGGGGCAGAAGAACTGC